CCCCAAAACCCCAAAACCCCAAAACCCCTAAAATAAGATAATGATCAGATTCGTGTATTTTTTTAATTAATTGTAGATAATTAAGCAACAGCATAATATATATTTTTTTTAATGGATTATTACAAACTCAAACCAAAAGTCATCTCACATTCTAGAATTAGAAGTGTACTTCCAAAAAGCACAGTAAATAAGGATATTTCAAATCTTTACTAAGTTCCAGAGTCTTAAAGATACCAAAGAAGTCCACTGAGTAAATAACAAAATGGAGAATCTTTTAATGCAGAATTAATAATAAATTCCAAGAAAAATGACTTTTAGCACTATCAAAGTCTCCCATTAAAAGCAATTGATTTCACATTAGAAATTTCTAATTAATTAAAACCTCTTTAAACCAAATTGCAAGATTTGAAAAGGAGATAGAAAGATAAACTTATCATTGAGAGGCACTAGCCAATGTTAAGTAAGATTCTTAGAAACAAAAATAATCATAGTGTACTAGACAACATCTAAGAATAAAATTAGTTTGGTCTAAGGAGCCCAAATTAGGCAAATGCTAAGAATCTTTAGTAATTACTGTTAATTAATCAAACTTATAATGATACTTAAAACAAAAGCAAGGCAGATATTATCAGCCAGTCATAAAAATAGAAAAGCTCCAAAAGTAGTAACGATCCTTGAGCATGATCTCCTTTCTAAACAACTGCTTATATGTAAGTAGCTAGATAGCAAAGCCAATTGTCGCATAAGTCATCCTCTTTTGGATAAAATGATGACTTGGATAATATTGAGCTGCCAAGTTTAACAAACAAATAGTTTCCAATAATGCCAGCACTAGTTATAGAAAATTAATATCAAAGCAGAGCTCAAAGTTTAAGTTTAATCAAGCCTCCTACTATCAGACCATTTTAAAGTTGAAATTTAGTTAACCACAATCCTGTAATTGCTCATCTAAGGTAAATACAATATGAAGAGAAAATGAAAGACCTAGAGAACTAAAGATTATTTGAATATGGAATTAATGAGCCGCATCAATTCTAGGTTCAAACAATGCTTTTGTAATCATAATAACCTTTAATTTCATAAAGAGCAAAATAAATTACCAAATCAAATTTAAGACTTTAGATGCCTGAAACTATATTCTTAAGGAATGATGAATCTCCAAGGAGCTATATCCTGACTAAAGATTTTGGTAATGATATGAACATATAAATTTAAAAGACACCCAGCAACCACTTAAATCCCTATAAAAATGATAAGTTATTTTGATTTACTTCCTTAATTATTTACTATTTTTTACATATTTAAAAAAATAATACTGTTAATAATTACCACTAGGGGTTTTGGGGTTTTGGGGTTTTGGGGTT